ATACGAGTCTATGCTAGTAGAAACTAATAACACGATTAAAAGTTATTTAGGGGGTCTGAAAATCGACACAAATAAAATAGTTTGTCATATCTTTCCAAATTCGAATTTAGATAACTACCGAACAATCTTATTAACGAGTATTCTTTTTCGGGTAAAAGATATAGAATCAAAACTTGAGTGTTTGAAGAAAAAACATTGTAAAAATTGGCTCAAACCTAGATTAGCCAAGTACACGATTGATGAAGTTACTAAGTTTGAAAATGAGTTTTATCAAAATGTTGCTGGGTCAGTGGATGAAAATATTGAAAAAAAGCGCGATGCGGCTGAATGTGAGCAGGAAAGTTTGGATGATCTGGATCAAACGTTGAAACTAATTCACAGTAAATTTTGCGTGAAGCATATTATATTAAAACTTTTGGCATATTTGCATATTGAGAAAGCGTATGTGATAAAGTATATAAAACAAATAGAAAATACAATCACTCCCGAGAGTCTGCGTGTAATGAACATTACAGACTGTTTTTGCGAGTATGTTATAAGGATAAAAACAATTAATACCCTTTACACTAAGACATACTCCGACGTTTGTTCGGAATTAATAGAATTATTTTACATCCGAGATGTGATTCTCCACTCTAAATCAAACGGCGATGCTGTTAACGAAAGTGTTGTTTCTAAAAGACTTACTGAACTTTATCAACGAAACGTAATTTTGCTGACTGAACTTTCTAAAATTCCTGACTACTTAAGGCTCAATAAACTGTTCGAAAACAACTGCTTTGGAGAAATCGACCACAAAGGCATTTATCTTATATCTAATAAAACTAAAATTCGCATTTTTGCTCCAACGATTAATCAGGATACTTTTTTGCTCGATCTTCACGATAATCCAGAACTGTGTAGATTTTTGTACTCATCTGTAGGAGAAAAAATGTTTAAATATATTATTTGTAATGATTTAACTAATCTGCCGCTCCAAAGCGCCATTAAACAACTCATGAGTACCAGCCGGAAAAAAAAGGACTTGATGTATGAAAACGAACGGCAAGATGCATGGTTAGAAGTGTATTATAAATTAACTGAAATCGAAAATTCGCCTTTGTGGCGTCCAGCCAAATATTATGACACCAAATATAAAATCGTGGCTCGTAGTGAAAACTATTCGTTTGAATCGTTCGAAATACCGAGATGGAATAACAACATTTTGGCTAAACTTTTGTTTTACATGTTTGGCATTGAATTTCTCGAGCCGTCATTTCGCGTCAAAGAATTTTTTCTCACGTCAAATACGATTATGAATATAACTAAAACTCTTACTATCGATGATATCAAAAACAAAATTAACTACGAAGATATGGCAAACGAAATTGACACTAAAATCTTTGCAAACTCGCTTTTATGTTATATCAACAATTTAAAATCCCAGTTTGACACATATAAATACCTTTTTATTTCAATGTGGATGATTTGTCACAACTTTTGTTTACCAACAAGCAGATTATAAACAAAGTGTGCAGTGCAGATTTATTTAAAATTTTTTAAAAATTTCTCTAAGTATATTTGTCTCCCAGGGCAAAGGTCCTCCGAGCACCACATTGTAATTTGCACAGGAAAAAGGTCGTAACAATTTGAAAATACGTTTTCTTGAACTAATTAAGTTCAATTGCTTTTTCAATTTTGAAGATAAAGTGCTGTATAAGGCACATTGACTAGCATTTGACTGATTCTTTAAAATAGTCAAATTTTTTCGTCTAGAATACAATTCTTTTGCGAGCCCAGATATGATTTCAGTAGGAATTATGTTTTGATTTTTCCAGCATTTGCGATACCAAGATTCCGATTCAGCTAGCAGTTTGTCGATCCAATTTAACGCCTCATCGTTTTGAAACTTGATCAAATACTTTGAGTCTAATTGAACTTTATTTTTGTACTCTTTGGGACAATATTTTATTTTCAGGACTTTTCTCAGGCTACTAGGTACTTCGGGGTTTTGCATACGGCAAAGTTCTTGTATGTATTTCCAGTAGGCATGTAATATGAATAAAGTCTCATGTTCGTGTCTATGTGGAACAATGAGCTTTAGTAAAGAAACAAGGTCTGTTCCAGGTTCAACCAGTAGTAAACTTAACTTAAGCCTAGTCATTAAATAATTGTCCAGAGCCAAATTAAATTTCGAAGTAACGAAGTTACTGTTACTACTAATTTGAGATCCGGACGCAAAACTCTTTGCTAAATTTTGATATTTTTCATTAAAGAAATCTATATTAGTAAGTTCAGAGTTTTCTAAGCTTTTGAGAAATTCATCATGCCTGCAGATTTTAAAAATATTTCTTAAAGTTAATTTATCGTTTGACGAGATTATCGTTAGGGGTGATGCTCCCTAAAATAATTTACTAATTTGACTTACAGGCCACTTAAAAGTTTGGATTTTTGTTTTAATGGGTGTATTCCGGATGCATTGTTCACTGATCATAAAAATAATTTATAAGATATAATAAAATATTTTAGTGTCTTATAATAAAGAACTGCGTAAAATTATTTTGAATATTATAATTCAGTCTAATTTTTTGGTAAAGTTCAATAATAAAAAGAAATATTCTGAAGCCTGATATGACAAAAAAAAATATTACAAAAAGATCTAGTTATTCTAAATTAGTTGAGCTTATTAAAATTTTCCTGTTGATTGGTATATTTTTCGCTTTTTTCGATTATTTAAAATCGTTAGAGGGAAATTTTGACAATTTTGCTATTAGAATTAATCATATGATCTTACCTTGGGCGAAAAAACTTTTTTTGTCATACTACGAATTGCTATTCAAAATCAGGCATCATATCGTCATGTTTGGTAAGTTACCAAAAAAGTAGATTTTTAGAAAGCTTGACACACAGAGTGTTTAAAAGTGATTACCTCAAATATGCGCTTATTAACAGCTCTATGTTACTATTGGTAATGATATTGGTGAAGAACGAAAAATAGAAATCAATATATATTAATTTTATTTCACCGAATTAATTTTAAATTGAGTCAGCTAAAAGGCTTCAGACCTGTCATAACTATCAGTAAATTTTTTTTGCGAATTGTTGAACTTGTTTGAGTTTTGATTGTATTCAGATTCGTACTGAGTGCAAATAATGTGATTAAGACAGAATTCAAGCTCTTTCACACGCAAGTCGTAAGAATTTAGCATATGTTCTTGTTCTTCTTTCTGTTTTCGCAAGTTCGAGATTTCGTCTTTGTAGACGACGATGCGTTTAGCCTGGTTAATTACAGTTTTACGCAAAAACGAAACCACTTCTGTGCCGTATTTCGTTTCGTTCGTAATGGAAGAAACAAGATTATTTATTTTGTTTGATTTTTGAACAGGACTGTCAGAATTGGAAAGCAAAGAAAATAAAGGTTCCGAGGCGTCTGAATAAAGTCTTTTTTTTGCACTTTTATTAGTAGAATTGTTTTCGTCATTGATGACGTATCCCGACTCACAAATTTTCTGTAGCTCAACACGCGTTAAATTAACGTCATAGGAACAAACTTCGTATATCGCTGAAATTATGCTATAACTTAACTGATTAAATTCTTTACTAAAAGCAAAAATTTGGGCTTCTTGCAAAGCAAGAGTGTCGCTAGTTAGCTGGTTGTCTTTTAAAAGTATATTTGGAGGATCTCTGAATAAATTTTCACGACATAATCTTTTACTGGATTTTTCTAAAATTAACTGCATCACTCTAACTATATTGGGTGTATAACATCATCAAATAAAATTTTCGCCTATTATTTACTTTAACAATAATTCTAAAATATTTATCGCGCAGTTTATTGAATTAAGTAAAATAAATTGTCTTCACACGAATTAATGCTAAACCTGAAAATTTCTTTTGTTAAATAAAATAAATAGAAATAATTTGTGGAGAAAAATAAAATAAAAAAAAATATCTTGGACGAATATATGATTGGATAAAAAATAAATGAGAGGTTCGTTTGATGAAATTTTAAAATCTGAATCCTCAACTCCTGATGTTCGTCGCGTTGGGAACGTTTTAAATTATCATTTTAAAACAATAAGAAGTACCCATACTCATCTTTTAGATTACTTCAAATATTATGCTGGAAAAATAAAGGACGATGTTCGAAGTGTAGTTTTGACTGCCAATGAACAAACAAAAGGAGTAGGAACTAAGGTTCACAACACTCGAAGAGTCTGGGACGATATGAATCCTGACGTAAATATAAAGTTTTCAGCTTTGACGCATATCTCAGGACTTCCTGTTGAATCTCTAAGTATAGCAACTGGAGCTTTAGTAGCAAGCGAGTTGAATAAAATCTTTTCGATATGCAAAAGTAGCACGAACGTCATGGTTAAATGGGTGAACGACCTGATAATTGACGAATTTAAGATTGGTGGCGTTTTGTGTGAGAAAGTAAATGGAGAGCATGACGACTTGTATCTAATTTCTATTGGGCTTAATGTTGCGAAAGGCAGTAATTTAGCGAATGCTTCATATTTAATGAAGTATATTGACGCGCAACATGATCAAAAACATATATCTGATATGATATATCAGAAACTATTCAATTTATTTTCTAACGATTATCCTGATAGCGAAAGAATTGCGAAAATCCTCGACAAAGTCCTCGCTTTCCGAAACAGAAAGCTCAAATTTATATATGACAGAGGAAATCCCCTTGGTTATCAGATTGGTTTTTTAAAAGCGGTAGACTTGCCGACAGGTTGCCTTGTTTTAGACTCAGATGAAAGTATTCGATGTGAAACAATCCAAAAATTAGATGTATAATTTTTTAACTTTATTTTTTTACTTTTTTGTGGAGTGTGATATGTCTATCAGTATCATTTTCAATGGTATGTTTGACAAATGCAGAATCATGGGAGTTATGGAAAGCGTTAGGAAGTCCGAAATATATTATGGCTCCAATGTTCAATGGTTCTGACCATTGCTTCAGACGGCTGAGTCTGAGGTATGGAACTGATGTTGCATTCACGCCAATGATAAATTGCAAAACGTTCCAAAAAAACGCTTATTACCGCGAAGAAGTTTTACACGACTTGGGAGTTTATGATAACCGAGAGAAATTTGTCATTGCTCAACTAGCTGGTTCCGAATTGCACAATCTTCTTTTCACCTGTGAAGTCTTGCAAGATTACGTTGATGTTTTCGACTTAAACTGTGGTTGCCCACAAGCTATCGCATTTAGAGGCAAGTACGGCAGTGCTATGCTGAAAGACACAAAAAAATCGCTTACGGTGATTGAGCAACTTGTTAAACTTGTGAAAAAACCTATTTCCATTAAGTTGAGGATCGTAGAAGACGAAGCTTTATTAAACAACTTACCAAAAAAATTGTTAAATGATTCGGAACACACTAATCAAACTTTGATATCTGAAATAAGTGGAAACGATATTGCGTATGTAAACAGATTTAGATTTGACGAATTATCGAAAGTGTACGAAAAAACCATCGCATTTTGTCGAAGTTTGGAAACTTTAGGTATTTGTTTTTTGACAATACATGCAAGATCGAGTAAGAACAAAAGTAACGCACTATACGCTGCGGACTGGGACTTAATAGCTTATCTAGTCAGCGTCCTTAATATTCCTGTAGTCGCTAACGGTTCGGTTTGCAGTAAAACTACAGCCGATGAATGTTTGGAGTTCACCAAAGCAGCAGCTGTTATGTCTGCTGAAAGCCTGCTCTACGATCCAACGTTGTTTTACGAAAATACTAGACCAAGTAAGAAAGATTTAATACTCGAACTACTAGAAATGTATAAGCATACAAAAAAATACTCTTTGGGTACGTTGCGCAATCATATGTTCAGATTAATGTTCAACTATTTTGAATTGAATCCAGCTGAAAGAAAAGTGTTACAACAGTTGAACGATTTTGATGCTATTTATAAATGGGTTGCAAACATTGATTGCCTAGATTCAAGTCGTGACACGAATTGTTATCATGCTTATTTTAGACATAATTTGGCCAAGAAAACTTAGTCTCTTTTTTTTTTACCCATACCTCGCCGAACTCTCATACCTTGCTCGTTGACACGAACTTTAAGTTTTTTTTTGAGGTTTTTTTTAGAGTTCATAAATTTAAAGTCGTCTGGCGTCGTGATAGATTTGTTAGAGACGTTATGAGAATTTTCTGGATTTTCAGGCTCTAAAGACTTTTTTCCATAATTGAGGAAGTAAAGCGCGAGTTGTCTATCAATACGTGTGGCGTTGCCAACTTACTTTTCTAGAGCTTTAACATCGTAATAAATTTTCGCTCGATTATTGCACAGGCGAATTACGTCCATTAGAAAATTTTTTTTTTATCATAAAAATAGAAATATTATATTGCTTATAAGCTGCATAACGTTAAATAGTATTAATTGATGATTGTAATGTATGACACGAGCAAGTTTGGTGAAACTAACGGATTTAACTATAGTTTAATCATTTTGAGAAATTGGTGTTTTGTCTAAATGCATATAATTTTTTAATATACTAATTTCATTATTCTTCAGTAAAAAATGGGTATTTCAAGAGACTCAAGACACAAAAGACGAGAAACTGGAGGTAAAAGAGCCATCCACCAAAAAAAAAAGAAGTATGAGCTCGGTCGTCCCGCCGCTTTAACTAAACTCGGAAACGAGCGTGTTCACGTCGTACGTACTCGTGGTGGAAACCACAAATACAGAGCTTTGAGACTCGATTCCGGTTCTTTTTCATGGGGAAGCCAACAAATCTCTTTCAAAACTAAAATAAACAACGTCGTATACAACCCGACCTCCAACGAGTTGGTCCGAACCAACACAATTACGAAGAGCTCTATTGTTACTATTGATGCAAACCCGTTTATCACTTGGTACTACACTAGATACGGAGTTAATCTTGGTAAAAACGAAATCCCTGATGAAGAATCAAAGTCGCGCAGCGTTCAAGCTAAGCACGCCGAGCGCTTAGAAAACGAAAACGTTTGCCCATTCTTGTTGGAACAATTTAAATCAGGTCGTTTGTTCGCTATTATTACTACTCGTCCAGGTCAATCCGGTGTTTGTAACGGTTACATCCTTGAAGGTGAAGAACTCGAATTTTACAAAAAGAAGTTAGATAAGAAGAAGAGACGTTAAATTATTTTATATTTTAATCGTCTGTCCATATCTTTTTATTTGTGATAGCGAGTTATATACATAGTTATTTATTGTTTATAAATTTTAATTTTAATAATATCTGTATGAATAAGTCTCGTCTGTGTAAACATGAGCAATAAAAATTTATTGAGCCGGAAATTTTATATGTTTCCTCTGTTTTGAGAATATTGGCGTTTTTCATATGCTAAAAAATTATGCGAAAAGAGTAAACTTACGGTTGTACTTCAACAAGTCGTCAATCAAATTGACGTGACCTAATAACATTCTGCGGCAACAGTAACGTTTCAATCCTAAGTTGTCCAAAATTTCGCTAAAAAATATCACATTCGCAAACTTTCGGTCTTAAACTCTCACACTTACTCTATTGGCATACACTCAGCTAGTTTTTCTTGATAAATTTCCCACTTGTTCCCTATAACTTTGTTACATGAAAAACAGCGAATTGGAATAATCATGACAAGTTGTTAGAGTTTTAAGTACTTTACTAGAATTTAGCTAATTGTTATGAATAAATAATTTTTTAGTCATAAAAAATATTTATCGTTATAAATCAGCAGATATCTGGGTTGTTCCTTGATATGCAGTTTATTTATTTTAATTTTTATGTTGAACAAGAGCTTGCCAGTATTAAGAAGTGTTGTTTTTTAATTTAGCGCAAAAATCATGAAAGTGATAAATGACGAGGAGTAGTACTTAACCTACAATTGATTCTACTTATATATAATGCATTTTATTATTAAAATAAATATACAAGGTAATAGATGTAGTCGCATGCAAATTTTATTTTGTGATATTTTCTAAGTAGAATGTTTTATGGGCCAAACCGTGTCATCAACTGAGGCACTAAGTGTTGATGAATTATTTTCTAAAGTCAATGTGCGAGATCATTTAAAAGAATATAGAGAAACTGATTTCACCAAAAATCTCAAGATCATTAATGGCGAAACATTCACCAGCACTTTACAGTTGTTACGGGAAAAAAAAGCAGAACGTGAAAAGCAAATCAACGATGATTTCGTTGACAAAGCTTTGCAAAATAACATCAAATCCGAAGATGATGAGATTTTGAGTGATGATGACGACGACGCAGACTATGAGCAAGGAAACAAAACTCGATTCAAACTACATAAAGAACAGGTTATAAAAGACCTGAAGTCTGAAGAAGAAGCAAAACTTGCGCAAGCAGAATCTCATCCGATTTTCATCAAAGGCCAATGCTTGATCGGTGAAACGGTGGAAGTTAAGGATCACTCAAAGTACACGAATCTTTTTCCGATTACCACAATTAAGTGGTGTATAGGTGATTATCATTTAGATCAATATGCGTTCTCAAACGCGGTTGTTTATAATAGCGTAAAGTTATTAATAACTGAAAACTATTTCGGGTACTACATACGGTGTTCTGTAACACGCATCGTGCAGGTAGAAGTCTCTAATAAAGCCGAGTACTCTGGAAAAATTATAAACGTGTTTAATTTGAATCATAAAATTATAAAAGACATACCGGTCACAAGCCATTATGTAATTGGTCCTGTGTCTATTCATCCGTCTTATTTACTTCGGCCTGTAATAGAAAAAAAAGTCTTTAAACTTTTAAATATTACATTTGTTAACATACAGCAATTAAAAAAACTTCAAATACAATTTGAAACTCATAAGGAATCATATAATATAGATATTTTAAAACAAGACAAGTATTTTGAATGCACTTTGTCAGTGTATTCTGGTTGGGTTGTTCTCTCAAAAATGTCCAATGATGTTGTCAGAAAAGACTCGAATTTCAAATGGCTAAAAAAATATGAGACAGCCGACGCTATTGAAATTCCACTGAATATATGTCGGTTCACCTATGTTTTCAGAAATCTGATTTTGCTGTCGATAACAACAGACAGCTCAGAGAGTCGATCACCACTTATTTTTATTTCTCCTTTTTTAGATTGGCTGCACTTGGTAATTACTCAAGTATCTAGCGCATTAAAAGACGAAGATCCTATTAAAGGTGTTTTCGATTTGATAAATAAAACTCCAACACTATTGTTAAGAGAAAACGTTTTTGACAATTTTTAAATGAATTTTATATTTAATGCTGGAGAAGTGTGATAAGATTCTTTTTCATTTAGTTGAAACTCGTATCCAGTTCCAAGTTTGGGTTTGGTAGGGATCAGCCAATACAAATAATCTGTGCCGAGTACCTCTGAAACATTGGAAAAAAAGTCCTTTTTCCAGTTTGGACGTCTAGATATTGATGCTGAATTGCTACCTTCACAGTACTCGAGCGTGGTGAGATTGTGGTACAACTTGAAAAAATTAAACCTGACTAGTGTTGTAATCAGAAAAAGAAAAATAAACTTTACAATTGACAGCAAAATAATGCATGTCATTGAAATTATGCTGAAGTTGTCTAAGCCAATGCTGGAGGCCATCAACGAATAGTAATATTTCAGCAAATAAAAATTCGATATTGACAGCGCTATTGACATGTAGAAAACAGTCAAGACAAAATATTTGCTGTTGAAGTATCCAATACAGTTAGAAAACCAAAGGCAATGATGGTTCATTCGCAAAATGCACTTGTTACATTTTCTGCAATGATGCGTGCGGTCAGGCTTTAACTTTCTACACCAATAGCAAAACCGCATATCCGTGAAAATTTTGTAAGACTTGTCGTAAACTGCCTGAGCTTCGTTTTTTCGCGTGTAAAAAGTGGCGATGTTTGTTACTTCGTTGATATTACTCAACGAAAATCGTTCGTCGTTGGTTATAGTTCCTGGCGAAGTGATGAGAGTCAAAATATAAGAATAACCCGCAATAAAAATTAATATCCACACGGGTATGTAATATTTGGCTGTCCCTGCACGTTTATCAAAGTACAAAACAGCGTGAAATTCAATTAAGACAACTATAAAAACGACTATCAAAGCGAGAATTGCATAGTTAAATTTGCACTCTGGTTTGTCAGAGTCTGGCGAACTTGTCTTGGAGACTAAATGTTCACTTTCTTCCGTTTTCATAAATTTTATCTTCAATATTTGAGAGAAACGTTGTTATGTACTATATGTTGAGTTTCTAATGTAATAAACCGTTAGTTTTTATATTAAATACTTTTTAATAATGTCTAAGTATATTAAAACCCAGTATAAAACTCAGGCAGAATAATTTGTGTCAAGCTTTTTTTTTTTCAGCTTCACAAATCAAGGAAAAATTTTTATTATCAGTGGACGTGTAAATAAAAAATGAATTTATATATAGCCAAAAATTAATAATATCACGGAAATGCAGAGTAGTTTTTTCGACATGAGCTATGCTGGATAATGGTATTTTAGTTATCCGATGTATTGAGGTTGAAAACTTCAAAACTTACGCAGGAAAAGTCGTCATTGGTCCATTCAATCGCGGTTTTAACGCAATCATCGGAGAGAATGGAAGTGGTAAAAGCAATATAATAGATGCATTATGTTTTGTTTTTGGAACTCGAGCTAAAAAGCTCAGACACAATAAGCAGACAGGTTTGATTCATCAGTCTGAAAACCAAAAGCCAACATTTTCTAAAGTAACAATATTTTTTTCAGTTTTTCTGCATCGAAACGACACAGTGCCTCTTAGAGACTTTTCCATTGGAAAATCAATCACACTAGATAACCAAAGTAAATATTTTATAAACGACAACGGTGTTTCTTACGCGGAAATACGGGGAGAGTTGTTGCAGTATAATATAAATTTGAACAGAAATAGATTCTTGATTTTTCAGGGTGAAATTGAAAAATTTTCGCTTCTGCGACCAAAAGCGTCCGAAAACTGTTCTGAAGGTTTGCTAGAAATGTGTGAAGAGTTGATTGGAACTAATAAGTTCATTGAAGAAATAAAACGGCTTGAGCTCGATTTGGTTGATATCAAAGAATGCGTCAAAGATACAATGAGTATGTTAACGCGATGTAAAGTAAACTTGAAAGCCGTAAGTGGTGATGTGCAAAAGGCTATTGAATATATTTATTTGAAAAAACAGTACATTATAGCCAAGCTTTCGTTAGTAATAAAAGAGCGGAACGAACAACTTGTTGTGTTAGATCAGTTGAACGATAAATACGAACAAAGTCAAGCACACCTAGCTGAGATAGAAAAATCTTTGTCTGATTGTATTTCGGATTATAAAACTATTGAGGACGAATATTTAGTCGTGAAAACTGAACTTGAAAGCGTTAATGCTCGACATGCTGAGTTGTACGAACTGATTCAATCTTTTAATAATAATTTACAATCCTTAGAGACAAAAAAGGAAAACTTTCTTAAGAACGAAGCTAAAATAAGATTTGATCTTGAAGTTGAAAATAAATTACTCGTCAAGCTTGAACAGGAATTTGCAGATTACAACAAAATGTATGCAGAATCTGACCTTATGCTGGCCGAACTTGAAAAAGAAAATTTTCAAATTAACTCAAAAATAGCGGAGCTAATGGAGTCTGAAAATAACTCTAATTTGGATCTTCAAAATGAATTAAAACATTTATATGTAGAGTTAAATAGTTATGAAGAGTCATATATTTTGTTATCTAAACAAATGGCTGAAATTAATACTCGAATGCAATTGGAAGAAAACGAAAAATCCTGTTTACTCTCCGAGCTGGAAAACAAAAAACAAGAAATAAAAAACATTCGACTGCAAATTGTATCTCGAGCACGCGAAATTAACGATTTACACGAGCAAAAGAAAGTGTACGAGTTGCAAATAACTCAAAAGCAAAAAACGTTGGACGAGATTGGTCAAAACTTAGTTGAAAACAATAAAGAAGTTTCTCATTTGATTGCTTCTTCTAAAAATAAAAATATCAACCAACTTATTTTACGTAATAAAAAGCTTTATAGAGGTTTAGCCGCGGAATTCAACTCTCCAAGTTCCACGTTATCCGGTCTTGGTTTATTTTTATTGGACAATATAGAAACTGACGTAGATAAATATGGTGTGGCATTGAGTGCTGCGGGCTTAGCAGATGAACTGGTTATCACTGAAGATCAAACTTCGTCTGAACTTATTATAAATCATGTCAAAAAAAACTGCTTGGGCCGCGTCACGTGCATTATTAAAAGCATTTTCGCTGAAAAAGGCAAACGAATAAAAGCAGACATCGATCGGATACTAAAAACAAACAGATTTCCTTTTATTGGAGATGAATTTGTTTTTTTAGCCAGTGTGCTTACGTTAAACAACGAGTCAATTAAAAATATTTTATAAAACAGACTTGGAATGACGATTTTATGTTTAACCTCAATTGAAGATGCAAAAAATCTTTCCAAAAGCTTTACAGAAAGATTGAAAATTGTGACGTTGAACGGAGAAGTTATTGAAAAGTCCGGTTCTATTACGGGAGGGAATGCCATAAACTATCTTTCAGCCAGGCATTTATACCTCAATAAAGACGTCGACGATTTTTCTAAACTTCACGACAAAATAAATCTAATAAACCAAAAAATAGACGAACAGCAAAACAAAGTTATCGAGTTGAAAAGAGATATAAATTATCTTACTGTGAACTGTGTGGAAACGTCGAAAGTCGAAATGAAATATAAAATCGATGAAGGCGTAAAACTGCAAAACAAATTGGAAAAACAAAAAGAGCTCTACAAGGTAAAATCAAAACAATACGAAGAAGTTTGTGTTAGACTAGAAAATGTCGAGTTCAAAGAACAACTGAGTAAGCTCGATGACTTAAAGAAAGAAGAAATTTTTATTTCTACTAAAAAAAACATGCTGACTAGTCGTATTCAGGAATTAGAATCGAAAATTGATAAAGAATCGAGTTCAGAAAAGAACATTTTGCTTAAAAAACTAAATAAAAATATGGAACTCATCTCTCAATATACGTCTATTAAAACTAATTACCACGTCGACAGTGAAATAAAGAAACAAAGATCGGTTCGTCTTAAGGATGAAAAGATTGAAAAATTGAAAAGCGATTTGGATCGCATCGAGAAATCAATTCAGGAGCTGGAAGAAGAATTAGCCGAAACGCAAAGAAATCTTAAAACGATTTCTAATACTAAATTATCAATTAAAACTGGGCAAACAGAAAAAGACAGGTTGAAACAACTGAGTGAAACCAAAGAAAACTTGTTGATTTTACAAAAAAATTTTCAGCGTGACAAAATAACTGTTGAAAAAGTTTTAGAAGACATTTTTAACGAGCACAAAACTGAATCTGAAAAAGTCTCACATATTGAGAGTAAAATTAACCAGTTGTGCGTGTCATTTGATAAGTTGCCTCCAATTTTATTGCAAGATGATCAATGTCTGATAAACGATATAAATGCTACACGAACTGCACAGACTGACATTTATCAACTTGAATACGATGATAATGATGATAATAATTTAGTCATAGGAGAAGAAGAGCCATATAAATTTGACCTTGTTAAAGCTGGTCTAACGCTTCCCGATATTAACGACAAAAAACTATTTCTTAAAGTTTCCTACACCGATCTTAATAATGAATTATCCAAAGTAAAAGTGTTGGCAGAAACGGCAAAAATGGCAGATCTGAAAATATTAGATGAATATTATCTGTTGAAGCATAAGTTGGACGAAGCACAAGAAATTTTGAGACTTCGGCACAGCACTATGACGAATACGATGAATATGCTAGAACAAGCAAAAGCGAAGCGACTATCTGAATTTGAGGTGGGATTTAACAAAATTTCTAATCATGTTCGTGATTATTACCAACTATTAACTCAGCTTGGAGATGCTGAGCTCGAATATGTAGACGTAGACCCGTTCGAGAGTGGAATTAACTTTTCCATTCGCCCTCCGGGGAAAAGTTGGCGTTCGCTACGCAATCTCAGCGGAGGTGAAAAAACCATCGGCTCCTTGGCGTTGATCTTCGCATTTCAAGAGTATCTACCTACACCGTTTTATTGCTTAGATGAAATCGATGCGGCTTTGGATTCCAAAAACGTGTTTCTGCTTGCAAAATTCATTTCCGTCATTCAGAGTCATAAAAGCCAATTTCTAATTATAACCCAACGACATGAGTTATTTCAGCTTGCCGACAGATTGTTTGGAATTGTAAAATTAAACGGTATTGGATCAATATTTTCAATTGAGCCTAGCGAATTTAAAAAAAACGCTGATAAGTTAGATAACGATATCGATCCAATTAAAAATGACAACAATAATACAATTATATATGAATAAATCAGAAATAATCAATTAAACTACGTAATCTATTAACCTTGAAAAGACTATTCATCGATTAGCTTCATTCGCTTTAAGGCTTGCTTCTTTTCGAATCCTTTGTAGGCGTGATGGAGCCTTTTAGCATCTTTCTGACTAATGCCATTTTTGTTCTGACTTAGTGAAAGGTTATGTTTGTTTTGTTGTTCGGCTTTTTTGAGTTTCTGTTCTAACTTTTCTTTTTTCTTCCTTTCCTTGTCCTTTTTGTCGTGTTTAGCCTTATTCAATAAAGTTGAAATCAGTTTATCATATTCAGAAGTAGCTTGTTCTGTACTTTTATTTCTTTCATCAAGTGAACCAGGAAGAAGTGGCTTTGGCATTGATTTATATGGAAGTTGTTCGACTAAAGAAGCGGGTATTTTCAGCTTGGGCAATTTGAGTTTTGGTGCCTCGTCGCGTGATTTATATGCGTGAGCGTCGATTAATGATTTGTTACGAGCAAGCTTTAGCTCATTGCGAATTTCAACGAAGGTGTGTAGACGATCCCAGGACGGAGTGTCAATCATTGGGTGGCAAAAAGCCGTTAAAGGCACATCGACCCAAGTTTTGCAAATTATAGTGTCATTGGGTTGTATTTTCGCTTCGAAAGTAGCTCTAAATTCGCCATCTTCGCCTTTGGCTTTTTTTATAACGCCTCGGATACCCGAAGTTGTTTGGATTTTTGCAAATCTAAATCTATTTACCTCAAAAGAAGACTGAAACATGTTTATAATAAATGCGGTATTTATGTGAATTTTGGAAACATCGCCAATGAGCTTTAGTTTCTTCTTGATGCTAGGGTTAGGTTCACAAGCTAAGACACTGCCTGTCAAACTTATTCTCCAATCTACATAAGAACGTGAAAAGTACTTCATAGCCAAGATACCAGTGTTTGGCGGAACCGCGAAACCGTTTATATACATAAGACAGTGCAAGTACAAAGGTGTATACTTGAGGTAACGAATTCTTACTGAGTTACGGTCTTCGATTGCGAAATACGGGAGCGACTGATAACGGTGCCATCCCACTGAAAATAAGAGTGGCTCGGTTGAGTTCAACACCTTTGGTGCCCAACGGTGCCGAATTATTTTACACTTCAAAAAAGTTAAAGATGTTTCATTGGCGTTTAATCCTCCAATTACTATGGGCTTGACAGAATGCGTATGATTACGATATGCTTCAATGCATTTCCTGCTTATGCCTTTAACTCTTATTTTCACGTAAGATCCAACAGGAATAGGTAGACATTCGGCAAACAATGGATCCACTGTACGCATTTTGAAGAGTGTTTCATCTATCTGTTTGCACACAGCTTCGAAGTCTTTCATTCTTTCGCTTTGCATATTATAATCAAACTCTCCTGTAGCGAAAAAAGCTTTTTTGACAACTTTTAATGTTTTAATAGAAAAACTCAAACTATTCACCTTATAAGTTGTATCTAAAGAAATTTTTACTTCATAGTTGTCATTATCATTTTGACTTTCATTCTCGCTCAAAGTGTCAGTATCATTCGTTTGGTCGCATACAAGGCCGGCGTCATCCCCTTCATCATCCGAAGTCTCGTCTTCACTTAAGTTTTCTGAAAAAGATTCTTTCGCATCCTCATCACTTGTCTTTAAATCATTTTCAATTTTGTCTTCAAGTGAGGTTATAACATCACAAGCATCGGTCTCGTATAAAGAATCGATTTCTTGGAGTCGATTTGCTACTTCGCTGACAGGTCGGATCGATGACTCGTTAATATTGAACAAATGTCTGTTTTTAGATAAGTATTTACTTAGCAATTTGGGTTTGTTTTCTTTTACGGTTTCTAGTTGGTCGAAGTAATCAAAAACCTGGTCGGAGTAAATGATTTTAGTTAAATTTGTGGTCTGCATGAAGTTGATTTCTTTTGAGATGTAAGAAAGCGCAGAATCGAGTTCAGTCTCGGTATCAGGCATTTCTTTATCTGAAACTTCAGCTTGAGAGTTATCTTCATCGCTTAAATTATAATCAAATTGTTCAAGAGACATGTCAGGTCGATTGTTCCAAGATTCGTATGTCTTCTGAAAAGCCGAGTCTTTCGGTTCGTTTTCTAAATCTTCTTTCTGGCTAAACTCTTCTTCCTCGTCTGAAATATTCCAAAAGTTAGATTCATCATCGCTCTTTTTTTGGTCTACATTCTCTGAGTGTACAACTGTTTTTTTAACGGCTGGTTCTTTCTTTTTATAGTCAGTGATGTATATTGCATCATCCTGTACTTCAATTTGGCCGATTAAACAACTTGGAGCGTAAATGTTTCGTTGCTTCACTATAGCTTTTGCAGTGGGTTTGGCATCTTCGGTTTCGTCCTGATTAATTATTCTAATTTCGCATGGATCTGGAACTTTTGTTACCGCGCTAACATTGAATTCACCAAAACCCGGTATTGTCACGTATTGATGGCTGCGTAGTAGACAACCTTTTAAGTATCCGTAAAAATCTACGTCACAAGAATCCTCGTTGGCTTCTTCTATGGTCATGTTAAGCGCTAAAAGATAGCTGTGGTTAGAGCGCCACACCAGAGGTTCGCATTTTTGTACACTTATGAATCTGCATAAGTTCAAAATGTCTCTATACTGGTATAGTGCTTCTTTCATCCCACGCAAGTAAAACAAAACGGCACCGTCATACAAATCCGCCCAGAATCGTTGCTTAATCTTCTTTTTAAGTAATTTAAGTTTTTTATCCTGCTTGAAAGTGTCTACAAAAGACAGAACTCCAAGAATTTTTGGAAATCCGTGCACTTTCATGATGTTTATAAATTCCAGTGTATCTTTTTGAATGCCATTTCGAATGTCTATCATGCAAAGCGCGATGTCGGCAATTTTCGCCAGATCGAGGGTTGCTTCGATTTCTGTGCTGCATTCTATCAATGTTATTCTTCTTGTTTTAGAAACAACTAAAGTAACAGGACCGTTGAGTTGATTAACAGAGCGTTTTGTGTAGTATTTAATTAGAGATTTTATCAAGGTCGTTTTTCCACAGCCGGGAGGCCCTTGAACAACAACAATTACAGGAGGAGCATCTGAAGTTTCTGTCTTGTCAGTGGCATGACTATAACAAGCTCGTTTCTGCTCAATTTCGGCGGTTCGCTGAACTCGTCTGTGAACTGATTGCGGTCCACCGCTAAAAGTGAAGGCCTTTGGGTTGTGTCTTTCAATTGCTGTTTGCTTTTTTTTGGCTTTTCCACCCTTTGACTGTTTGTTGTGCGCCTTGGGCGCTAAGTCTAGTGTCATGTAAATATATGTTATAAGCAGCCAAAAGCAAATTCAAGTTCTAATTCATGCAGAATTTTTTGCTGGCAAAAAATTTTGTTTATAATATATAGAGGGAAAATATTTTCTTGCTAGCTTGCATAAAAGAAAAAATTGAATTTTTTCTTCGACTTTAAATAACAAAAAAACAAAAGCAGTTAAACATTTATGAGTGACAAGCCAGCAGAAGTAATGAGTTACATTTGTGTAACTTGCGGGAACATAATAAGCCTTGAGCCCAGCGCTTCGATTCGATGCCGCACCTGCGGATCAAGAATCTTGAATAAAACAAGAAGCAAAAAACGTAAGTTTCAAAAAAATAAAATTATGTAGTCGCTCAATATGTAGCCAGATAATTTACCAAGCAAATCTCGAGTTTGATAATTCGCTAAGAGTACAAAGATTTTGTCTATCTTTTGCAATTGTTCATTTGATGGATTCTTTTTGAAAAAATTTCAGAAATCTAAAAAAAAAATTTATTATCAGCTTAACTTACAGTTGCGTACATTCTCTTGCCAAAGCTGTGCATAAACTTTTGATCGACTACGTACCGCTTGAAATACTGATTTGCGCGATCTATTCCTTCTTTCGTGTACGGATTGTGTGTGTATAAAATGGTCAGGAAGTTGCTAAATAGCAGTGTACTCAAAGCGTGCCGTATCGATTTGAAAGACGTGGCAGCTAAGCAAAGGAAAATAAATAGCTCAAGCATACCCTTGTTTGAGTAAATCTTGATAAATCTGTTTCTCATTATGCTAACTACTTTAGTTGAGTGGTAGCTCTGCAAGATTTGGTAGTGCATCATTAACATTATGTATATTTTAGCCAAGCCTGGCAGACGATCTACCAAAAAGAAATATATTCCGAGCGAGTGGAACTCGTCACGCGTCATGAGCGACGCAACGATTTCGCGAAACGACGTTCGGAAGATCATAAACAACTTGAGACGTAACACGACTCCAAGAACTAAAAAGAAAGACATAGGTGACACAACTAAATTTTTGAAGTAGAACTCTTCCAAGACTATGAATACTGTACTAAAAATGTAGCACACTATCGCTATTCTATCACTGTGTTTTAAAAAAGTTGCCAAAAACTGGAGTCTTTTAGAACTGCTAGATTGTTTTGCAGAAGAATTTTTTTTTTCTTCCGTAGCAGAGACACTGGAATTGTGAAGAGGCAAGTTTTTGTTTATTCGATCATGAAAATAACGGCGCTTGATTTTTTCAAGATGTTCTTCTGACGGAAGAGGAAAAATATTGGCCTTGTAATTCTTCCAGTCTTCATTTGTTTCTTCGTTGAAGTTTTTGTACTCTAGTTCAACCTCGCTAGCCATTTCTCTACTTGTAATTCTGATTAATGATTTTTTTGTTGTAATTTAATACAAATAATGACGAAAAAAAATTATAAATAAATCATATTCGAATAAGTTGTCTGATTCTGCAAATTAAATAATTTGTTTTAAATAAGTAAAAGTTTCAAAACATGGTTTTAGCTCATAAGTGACGATTTGCAGGCCATGTCTACAGTTCAATTATCTCTTGAGTGGTACCACAATGTGTTAAGTAAGTATGGAAAGTAATAAACTTTAACGTAGATGAAATCGAAAAATTACCCTACTCGCACCCGTTTCGTCAGCCGGTGGACTGGAAAGAGCTGGGATTAACAGATTATATCCAGATCATCAAAAATCCCATGGACTTGTCTACAATTCGAGTAAGTTGATTTTGCTGACATATTAACAGGCCAGAGTTATTGAAAACTACTATCCATTGAATTCCATTGACCAGTTCACGGCAGATTTAAAGCTAATATGGGACAACTGCCGCGCATTCAACGGCTGCAACACGGACATTTACGAAATGGCCAACAAAATGGAGGTTGAGTCTTTAAAAATAATCGAGTACCACCTTATGTATCTAAATGCGGGTGAAATGATAGATTGCGGAGTACAAAACCCAAACAACCGCGAAATGATGATGGGAATGCGCGGCCGCCCGTATAACAGACAGCCGATGGACAAACATGAACAAACTTTAAATATTTCAGAGTCGAAACGACACTTACTCGTGAAGTTTGCAAACAGACTGATGAGTTTGCCGTCTGAAGTAGCCAATGTGGTAAGTCACGTGTTTTATATGTTTTATAGTTTTTATCGTTGATTCTTGCTGAATATGAGTACGGAATTTTACCGCAAAACGTGCTGAGAATGCAAATGCCACTCGTTGAGCTTAACATCATTGCTCTCGATGAAAAAATCATTTTACGCTACATGAGTGTTTGCAAGATATTAATGAAGACGTTTCAAATGCCTAAAATGCCGTTAAACTAATTCAATAAACCGTACCTTACAACAAAAATAATGAATAACCAAATTTTAAACCAGTAAAGCCTTAATTTCGTTACCTATGTAATTTCCTAGTTTTTTGTTTTCACTCGCTATAAGCAGCTTCAGCAACACCCCTTTTGTCGAGACCACAGTTTGAAAGACTAGCTGAAGAGTCTGTTTAAACGGGATGCTATAAATTTCACAGGTCATATTGCTTTCGTATATATTGTTTCCATTAAACAGAGGTAACGTATTGAGCTCTTTTACAAGTTGTGTCACGCTTGATATGTTTGCTCGTGCCCTGATTTTAAACATCAAAGGTTCAAATGGCATAGTTAAATCGTCAATAAGTCGATAAAACGTGAAAAGTGCTGTTTGTAATATTGGATATGATTTAATCTCGCTTTGTTGAGGATAAGTGACACTGCTACCGGACTCTAAACAGTCGTATGTTATTAATGCACGTAGTACGTTACTCGTATTAGACTCTGAATCAAGTAAAAGATTGTCGAGATTTGTAGCTTTGTATGTCACGTAGATCGAAGCTTTTTCGTATGGAGCTAAATTCTTTATGTTCGTAACTTTTTCTGGATGCATTCGGTCGCGATCATTTTTATTTATTCTAACTTGTACGTTCTGTAATGTAATGTAGTCTAAGTTATTTGTGATGTTCAACTCCAATAAAACGAAATACTTGTTGTTCCAAATGTGATGAAGCACCGATTGCACAACTACGTCGTCCTCCGACTCTGTCAGTAAATAAGGTTGCGTGGTAATTATTTTTGTATTTTCGTCTATCTGGAATTGGTGTAACTCTCGCGATTTTAAACTTGTCATAAATTGCTTTTGGAGCACATCTATTACAGAAAGTTCGTTAGTAGACGATAAATTGTTATGTTCAATAAAAGCGTACGCTTCCAGCGTGCAATTAAAATCTGTAGCAACACTTGAGTTTAATTGTTTTTGAATGTCTGAAACAAAATTTTTAAAATTATACTTAATGTTATCAATATTCTTTGCGTGCAAGTTTATTTCTTTTTGAACCACAAAACTCTTTATGCTGATGTCTTTTTTTTTTAATTTAGGCTCAAGTTCTTCGTCGTCCGTTAGTACGAGTGAAACACACGTTTCAGGCTCGTCATCTAAGTACAAATCAATGAAGTTGTGAATGCTAGATGCTAAATGTGGACTCCGCTTGACCAGGTGCCGTAAAGCGTTAATGCTGACATCTCTGATTTTTTTGTTTTGAAGTATTACACGGTTCATAATGGTTAGCACTATTTTGTTTATTTGGGGAGAGTAACTGACATAATCACATATAAGCACAATCAAGGTAATCAACACTTCAGTGTTGTTACAGTCTTCAATTATATCGACAAGCGCTTCAATACAATCGAGCACAATTTCTTTGTTGGTTTCCCAGTTGTGCTTGCAAAGCTCTTTGAGTTGTCTGGCGAGTGAAACTCGGACGTTGGGAAACGTGGAGGTATTGATCATCTTAATAAAAAAATTTAGCACATCTGGGTCTAATACGTTGGCGTTGCATAAATTATCAATAAGATTTATTTGCAGAGCTTCTGGGACTGAGTTAATTTTTGTTTTCAGATTAGACAAAATTTGTTTCTTGTTGCAAGTAGGATTACAGTTGAAAGCCGTCAATAATGCTCGAGTGCTGACGTTGATATCGGAGAAGCTGATGTAAGATTCCAGTATGGGCATTGTAAGCACAACGGCTTCGGGATTTGTGAACGAAAAATCGTACAGCATATTGATTGCGGCGACCTTCCCGATGTGGTCTTCGCCTTGCAAAATGTAAATAATCTTAGAAATCGCTTGTTTCATTAAGATCAATGTGTTCCCAGCTTCATCAAGCAGGCTCCTATCGAGTTTAACTAAATTTCTGATAACCTTGGCAGCTTCGAAAAGTATGGAAGCTTCGTACATGTAAAAACTTTCGCGCACAATGTTACAAACAAAAGTCAGGTGACTAATTTCCAGTTTGAATTTTGTTACAATGTGTGAAATAATCGACAAGCGAATAATTTTGATAGTGGTAAATGTGCTTTCAAGTACTTGTACAAGTTGTAGAAGTTGAGTGAGGTCATTTGCATTTAATCGGAACAAAAGCTCGGCGATCGCCAGTGCAACAAGTTCGTTAGAATTGACGGACTCTTTTAGCAGTTTCTGAATAACAGCATAATATTTCTTGATGACCAACTGTGGGATTGATTCGCTAAAACTTCTGTCATGCAGATAATTTATCGTAGTTTCAACCAAATAACTTTTGTTGCTTTGCAGAGCTATTTTGGTCTCGTTATCTATTTGGTCGATGCCGTTTGTCACACAGAACAGCATACGCATAGCACATGCTTGGATCCAGTCGTCCTCTGAGGACAAGTCCCGCGAAGCAAGTGCTCGTAGCATAAAAGCATTGTCAAAGTTTTTGCCGAGTCTGCAAATTAAAAGCGACGTGAGCCGACGAAGACGGCGACTAGTAGTTTCATACATACGAGAAATGCCAAAAAAGATAGACGCAAAGTCTTCTTTTGATGTAATTTGGTTGTTTGTTAAAAAATAGAATACAGCTATCATTAACTGCAATTTCAAATTCAGCGGAGACTGGTGAGTAAACCTGTTTAGATCTTGAATCAATGAGTTGGTTGTGAACCGCTCGAGTTGCGTAATCGAGTGGTAGCCGCAGTTCCAGTCGCATGCTTCGAGCTGCGCAAATCGGCCTAATTTATTGACAAAGTTATTTAAGCTTTTCCCAAACGAAAGCATGGCATTTCAAATTATTTTTCTATAGCGCAATATTATTTTATTAAAAAAAGACACAGTTCGGTTTGGTTCGACTATGATCAGCTATCAGAAATACAACATCTAAAATAAAGTATTAACCAACGAGCGTCAATTAAAATTACGTCAACAATTTGAAATAATTAAATATAGAAACTTAATTAACTAAATCTACTAATAAAAATCTAATCGTGATCGATTACTTCAACCGGAAGCTTTTGGTGCGCATACTATTACATCGTCGACTCTGATAATTTGCTGAGCTGTCTCCGTGGCAAGGATTAGCTGGTTTTTTTTACTTTTAAACGACTCTAAAATTTCGAGTGTCTTGGCGCAACCCACTGCACCGTTGTTCACGTCTAGGCAGGGGAATTCTATGGTTTGTTTGAAATACGCAGCTCGCATTTGAGTGACTATTTCGGCAGCGTCATACCCGCCGTTGGATGCGAGGATCGTTGGGATTTCTAGCAGTGCTTCGGCAAAAGCTTCAAGCGCCAGACGTTTTTTACCTGCTACTTCGAATGACATTTTCATGATTTCTTCCGCAATGGCTACTTCGATGTAGCCTCCTCCGTAAACAAGCGCAGGGTCTTGTACTGTTTGCGAGACAATGGAAATGCAATCGTGTAGTGAACGTTCGGCTTCGTCTAGTTGATGTTTGCTAGCTCCGCGAAGCACAACGGTGGACGCTCCGGACTGCGGACAACCACGGAAACGAAGGAGCGAGTCTTCTGCCATGACGATTTCTTCGATGCATTCGCAGTGTCCGATGTACGATTCGTCAAAGTCGTCGAAGTTGCTGATTATCTTCGCGTTTAGTGCTGCTGCAACGCGCTCTATGCCGTCGAAGTCAGCATTTTGAATACAAACAATTCCGCGCTCGTGTAAAAGTTCCAGTGGGTAGTCGTAAATCAATTGTCTGTTGACCAACACATTACAGCCAGACTTAGTAATTTTCTCAATTTTGTTTTTCATTTTTTGTTTTTCTGCATCTTGAATTTCTGCGATCTGTTCATAGTCATTCGCAGTGACCTTGGCTCCGAAAATTTTTACTTTATCCGTATCCAAGTTGGTGTTAACGACCAATACCTTTGGATTGTTTATCGCTTTAATATTTGATTTTGAAAATGATTTCTCGAGCAAAAGACCGTCTTCTAAAAACGACTTGTCGGCTGAGGATCCAAGTTTTTTAATAATGTGGATTAGATTAATGTGATTGGGGTGTTTGAGCTTGAGCACCGCATTTGTCGCTATGGTGGAAAAATGGTGTTTGTTAGACTGCAGTAACTTGCTTGAAAGCGTGGTCATTCCGAGCTTTATCAAATAATTTTTGAATTCGGAAGCGTCTTTAGTAGTTTTGATGGCATGTTTGTGCAGCACGTCTAGCGCGATTTCAAGAGCCATTTGAAATCCGGAAATAATGAGTTGAGGATGGATCTTGTGTTCAATAAGCTTTTCAGCTTTTCTCAGCAGCTCTGCCGTCAAAACTACGACTCCTGTCGTTCCGTCTCCGCATTCTTGGTCCTGTCTTTTGCTTATGTCCACCAATATACGCGCGGCTGGGTTATCAATGTAGACTCTATTCAATATTGTAGCTCCGTCGTTTGTTATGCTAGTGGATTCACCGCGCGAAGTGTCGTTTGACAGCACTTGCAAAATTTTATCTCGTCCGCGAGGTCCCAACGTAGACTTAATCATGTCACCTATGGCGATGGCTCCTACATAGCATTGGATTCTAGCCAAGTTGCCTTTGTCTTCATGGCCTCCTTGCTGTAAAATATCTGTTGTCGCTGACTTCATATTTTCAGATCTTTGGGGATATCGGCCAGTCCTTTATCGTTCGCAACGTCGAGGTGAGATCTCAAAAATTTTTGCTAATAAAAATTTTCTAATATCAATTATGTTGAATAGAAATTATTTATTAATTATTTGAAAAGTTAATTGACTTTATATTTATTTTACAAATACTTTATTTGGAATCCAAGCTGGGGCGCCGCGACGTTTACAGAAAGATAATCTTTCCGTTTACCCATTCCGAAAACTCGGCAAGGTTGATTGCTCCTTTTCTATAACATATTTGCGCTGTTGAAACTTACTGTGTTCTATCTAGAGCGTTATAAATGTAAACTAGGTCGACTTCGCTGAAATAAATTTGATTTTGAGACAGTTCTGAACAAAGTTTCGAAAATTCTTCTGGAGACAGCCCGTGTTGCGGGTCTTCTTGGGCGAAATTATTGTATTCAGACATGAAACTTCCGTTGTAGTTGGCTTCGATTTCCTTGCGGGCTTGTTCGAGATAGATGGAGCGCTTTAATCCGATACAAATACCGACAAAACCTACAAAACAACCCAACAAGCTGGAAAAGTAGTAAATCAAACTCAAAAAACCTCGTTGACCGATTGACTGGGCGACAAGCAATAGGTAGAGCGAGACGTTGACAAAAAACAAACCTTTGCAGCAAAGTTTGGTCAAACAATGTATTTCCGAGTTGATGCAGTTGCGATAGCCTTTGGCCCACAAAGGCTTGCCTGGGATTTCCACAATAGAAACGACAAACAGCATTACCATCATCAGTCCACAAGTGAAAAAGACAGGCAGGTTAAATTTAAACAGGCTTCGTAGCGTTTGCGAGAACGCCATGGAAAGTTCAACGATCGCAACTAGGAAAAACAAACTTGTTATCGACAAATGGAATGAGTTCAAAGCCTGTTCGAATCGTTCTCCGGAATTAATAAGTTGGTGAGCCACGTTGGTCGTCGGGTTTGAAGCTGTGTAGATGTCTTCGTTGTCTGAAAACGTTGTTTCGAAGAGTTTTTACTTACAATAATCGGAGTTCATTGCAATTTAAATTTGTTATCAAAAGGTTCGTGCTACGAGTATTGAAAAATAACGTATGGTGATTTGGAACGCTCGAGAATTTAATCAAACTTAGAATCAGTTTGATTAAAAAAATTTTTAATCTAAATCTCGAGTTATTTTTTATCGTAATTATTTTTTACGTAATTATTATTTTTCGTCAATTACGGGTGAATAAATAAAGTCAAAGCTTTGGTGATCAAATTTATTAATTTGTTTTGACAGTTTTTCGTTGTTAGTGTATTTCAATGGGGCATGTAGGCAAATTCTGAGAAAAATGGAACATTTGAATGTCGCTGTATCTCAGTATTAGTTCGCTGTTGATAAATTTAGGTGCCAGCTGCAGCAACATCACAGGGTTTTTGAGCGGGCTTTTAGCGTGTTTAATCGTGTTTTGGAGCTCTCGAGCGTTTTTGTAACACATCAAGACGAGTCTAAACATAGGTCTCCAGAAATTGATGGTTGTGGTGACGTATGTCTTCATAATTTTTTCATTCGTTTCTTGGAGCTGTGCATCATTAAAGTATTGATGGGCATAATTGAAGACCTCGTTGGTTTTGAGCTGTGCCAGGTGCTTTTCCTTGTTGACATTGGCCACTTCAGCAAGGACTTCCGGGAAGTCGGGAAACATCAAAATGATGAAAGACAGGTAGTGAACAATGGACGTCAACGTGTCGAGTTTCACGTTAATCATATTGGTCATTAATTTGTTGATGAATTCCCAGCATTTCTTGACGTTGAAAGGTAGGCTGGTGGCGTGTTCGATGAGGTTGTTCAGTTTGTCGTTCTTCGAAGTTATGGCAGTAGCCGCGACTGAAAACGCGAAGTTTGGAATGAAAAACAGCAGATTGTTGTACCATTTAGGCGCCCACGTGCTGTACGTGGAATCAGATTCGTCGACAATCGAAAGTTCTTTGTTTTCAAGGATGTAGTCCGTGCTAATGTTGTTGTCGCACAACATGTGGTCAACGATGTCGAGTACTTCTTTTGAATTTAGGCTGCTAAGTTCTTCGAAGTTAAGTTCCATGGCGTAGTATGCGTTGTTGCTGAGTATGTTGACCAATTTAGCGAAATCGCACACCATTGCGTAGCCGCGCGTAAGGGCAGCGTATTCGACATAGTACTGGGCATAAACTAAAATAGTTTTGAGTTTGCGCACTTTACTCGCGTGTATCGGTAAGAGAAGCAAAGAAGCCGATAAATCGTCGTACGGATTTAACAGCAGCATCATTTTACACAGTTCAAACGCCACTATGTTTTGGGCGCGCGCACCGACTGACCAGCAGTAGAACCACAGAATTCGGAGAAAGAGCGCGTTTCCTATTGAGGGGTTGTCTTGGATTTTGGAAGGATTGTTACTCATAGACAGCTGCTGCAATTCTTTTTTCACGGACGCAACTTCAGTCTTGGTGAGTACAGGGTGAAAACAGCTGGTTTTGTTGCTGAGTAAGTCCTTGTTGGTCAGAGGGATGGGAAACCGATGGGACAAGCCTGCTTGAACACCGCTAACCGCGTTCGCTATGTGTTCATGCGCCTGCGGGTAATTGCCTTGTAACATATGGTATTGAGCCATGCTTAAATTGGCTTCGATGGAGAATATTTGCGTTTCAACTTCTCGCATCAGTGTGTACATGTCTATCGACTTGATGCTAGGTAAACACGAAAGCAAAGATTTCAAACCTAGATCTGTGAGTTTGCACTGCACATTGTTTCGGTCTATCACTTGGACTTTGAGGTGGACCTGGTGGCGCGGGTCGTTAGACTTGAAAGTGCGGTTTCTCGCGGTAATACACCATGCCTGTACGAACGGACTGTCAAGCATGAACCACGCGCAACTGTTCAAGCAGTATGCTTGGTGGGCGCAGTTCTGCACGGTGTTTTTCTTGTCGCCGTGCGGTTTTTCGAAGTTGTTTAGTTCGATGTTGAAATGCTCGCATATGGAATCGGTAATTTCTCGTCTAGTTTTACACTCGCTGTGTGTGTCTTTCTGTGCTGCGTCAGTCGAGTGTAAAATTTCGTAATCGATTTTTGCGACGGTTACTTTAGTCGGTTTTGACTTACCAACCGCCTTGAAATTAAATTCTACCGAACTGTCATTCATTTTTCTGGCATTGTAAAACCGATTAACGACTTCTTCGTCACTGAATTGTGATGTGGATGAAGATCTGTCATCCGAGTCGTCGTCGTCTTGGTTCATGTTGTTCAAAGCGTTGTGAAGCCAGAAAGCGTTTTCATGCAACTCTGGTTCGCTCGTCTCGTTGGTTTGGTCATTAAGTATGTTATATTTTAGCTTTTGAAGCTTGCGTAGCTGTCGATTCATTGCTAAACAAACTATACAAACCTAGTTTCGACTTTATTGCGCACACAAACTAAGCTTAGCAAGTGGCTATAATACAGCAGACAGTTTTAAATTATATAAATTTAATTTATGAATTTTTTAACATTTACAGCCCCAGTATATTCTAAAAATGGTGAAGCCACTAATTAGACGACTTGTAAATTAGTTTCTCAATTTTTGTAGAATATAGTTCGTTAGGTTCTAACAGCTGAGTAGCGGCGTTTATTTGTACGTTTTTCAGTTCTTCGTCTATTGTGATGTCAGAGATGTCGTTTTGAGTGAACTGTGTAGCTTCGTACTCAATTTTGGAAATGCCGAGATTGAGCACGCGTTTGAACAAAAGGTATTCATGTGAGTCGCCACAGCCTCGAATTTGACATTTTGTTAGAATTTCATTACCCAGGACTAGGGATAGCATCGAAAAAAACCGCTTAATTGGCTGGTAAAAGTCAGAAAGGACGATTTTTCTGTCTGAAATGATAATATTGTAGGTGGTATTTCCTAAGGTGATGTCGAGAAAATTAGTCTCGTTGCACCAGTCAATGAACTGAATTTGTTCAGTGATCAGGGAAACCCTTATTTTTTTAAGAAGGTCACGCAGATAATTTTTATCCGTGAACTGTTCACAATTTTTTTGGACATAGCAGCGAATTAAATTTAGATATTCTGTAGCAATAATTTTGGTAGATAACATTTCGTTATCAGGGAACGCTAGCGCCGTTTTGTTGCCGGAATCATTTTGTAGATAGAAACACAGGTTTTTCGCTCCCAAGTCCATTTGAGAAAGTGCAGTTTTGTCTATGATGTACTCAGCTTGAACTATGTTGGGGTCTTTCAACCGTCGGTTGTTTAACAGCAGGATTTTTTCCACAGTGTGGGCAACTTTGTACACGACTAGAGCTTTGATCAGACGATCTGGTACGAAGCTGATGAGGTTGTTGTCACCTATAAGATATTCCAGAAACAAATACCCGTAATAGACGAGTGAAACAATCGGTTCGAGTACGAAGTCTGAACTGACGAAATTTTCTACAGCGGCACCAAGAGACGAGAAGATAATTTTGTTGTTTTTAGCTTGTATTTCACTGATATCCTCAGTGACGCTGTCGTTAAGCTTGGTTTCGCATAGGTTGCTCAGGTTTAAAATTTCCGAAATATCAGAATCGTTGTTTTCATCCGGAAATGTAGCAAGACTGTGCTTGACACGTTTGGATTCGCCTGGAGACCCAAGAGAGAAGTTGTTGCGTTTCTCTGTCGATGTGTTTGAAGTTAAATACGCTGGTTCGTCCAAGTTCAAAGCTTGAGTGAGCTCATCAAACAACTTTTCCTCGCTATATTCTTGGTTTATTTTCATTTTATCGATTTTGTTGAAAGAGTAGTTGTCGTTCGAACTCATGCTGCTACAGTCCAAGTAGCCAGCAAAGTCATTTAACTGGTCAATTTTTCGATATCCGCAAATAGTGGAATCCGTGGTCTCTCTCGTTAAACTTTCGTTGGGGCCACCAAACAAGTTTTTCTTCGAATAAATGTAGGTATGAGGGGACACTATTTTGCCCATTTTCAATGAGTGTATCAGCCACATCATGTTTATTGCTGAGACTTTTCCGTCCTCATATATGCTAAAGATCGACTCAATAACTTTGAGGATGTTTGGTCTATCCGAATTTTGCTTGTTATAACGGTCTTGACGCAGATTAATCGTGAAAGAATGTTTCTCGTAAAAAGACAAGCCGGGAAATAAGAGAAATATCTTGTTGTACTTGCTGACTTTAAACTGAGATACATCACTATCCTCTGTAAGTAGAATGGGCTTGATGCGAAGATAGTCGAAAATGAACAGGAAAAACACATTGGTCCAGCTATTTTCTGTTTCTTCCGGTAGAATGTAATAGTAGGTAAAATGTTGAAATCTGTTAATTGCATAATAGAGGCCGAAAGTACTGTTGTTTACTTGGAACAATTCATTTTTTAGTGGCGTAAACAGACAATTGCTTTCCAGGCAACAAAAAAACCACAGTGGCGACACTATGTAGAAGTAAGGTGGGATCGAAGTAAGCTGACCTGAGTCAATCAGCAAGTTAAACAACTCAGCCTTAAAATTATTAATTAAAACGGTATTTTCGTGCTTGAAACTTCTCATAATCAGATTCTTAATGGAGTTCAGATTTAGTGAGTAGTCTATTATGAGGAATAAAAATCGAATATCGTCAAATTGATTTTGCGTGGATAAAAGATTGCATAAGCAATTGCAAACCAGGTAATGACAATCAAACGCGCTGAGCGATTGCTCGAGCCGCTCTAAATACTCCATAGACTCATTAGTACTATTTCTGTCGTTGAATTCGATAAAACATCCGCAATCGCACGATTGGGTCTTGTCTGGCTTGAAGGCTAATAGGAAACATTTTCTTGATGTAATAAGTAACTTAAGTTGTTCAACGTTATTAGATAATTTCATTTAGAGATTATTATGCGCCCATATTATAAAACGCCAGAATCTAATATTCTCGCTTCGTAACAGTTAAAAGAATCTCTATTATAACAATTTTATTTGATTAATTATCTAACAGGAATTTTCTATTATTTCCGAATATTAATATGAAATATAAAATTCTAAATAATATAAGACAAATATATTAATACTCAGCTGGAGTGGCGTTTGGAAATTCTGGATTGACTAAATAAGGCTGAATTTGGTATGTGATTTTGTAATTATTTTTAATAAAGTCTCTGTAAACCTGTGCTTCGTAGTTCATATGTTCCCTGGATCTAATGTTGCGTTCGAGCACTTCAGAATTGTCGTTGACTACTCGCCTTAGATCATCACAAAAACTAATGTATTGTGGATAGTGTTTTGCGATAGCTGGCAGTACGTGTACGTGATGATGGTGAACACTCATTCCTGCTGCTTCTCCGTTTTGAAAACAAACATGAATTTCTGCAATCTTGTAAAATCTACGAAGCATCTCGTTAACTAAGCGGACCGTTTTCGCCAAATCATCTCTTTCTTCATCTGGGATGTCGATAAACTTAATGTAAGGTTTGATCGGAGCAACTAAGACGTGCCCAGGCATCGTACATACGAGATTAACAAATGCCACGGAGTATTTAGTTACATAGAATACCGACTTTCCAGGTAAAGCGAACTTCCCAAATGTGAACTGCGTTTCAGTGAAATCCTGCGAAACAACATCGTTTGCGTCAGTCATAGTTAAGCCGAGATATAGTATTAATTATTATTTTTTTTTTTATTAACCAATTATTTTCTGTGGAGATAAATAATTCAGAATTATTAGTTAACTGAAAACAGTTCGGCAAACCTGTCGTGAATTTTTCTGCGGCAATCGTGTGGCCGAAATTAGGGTTTGTGACTGTTAATTTTCCAGCGTAATCTAATGAAACTAAATATCTACCGTAATCCGGTTCAAACTGTAAATTTCGTATCGATCTAGAATGTGACCTCTTTATATACCAGGCAAAGTTATCTTCGTAGTAATAACCATCACCAGCATCTTTGAACAAGTGCTGATTCAACATTCTCAAGTCCCAAAATTTGACTAATCCATCTGCTCCAGATGAAACTAAAAGCCAATCTATTTGCGGATGCCATTTGAGATTTAAAGTTTGATCCACATGAGCAGCGATATTTGCAATGTTTCTCGTGATTCTATTGTCCCACAATTTAACAATTCCTCGCAAATCTCCTGTTGCTAATAAATGACTTGATATGTTGTTGAACTCTCCACAGTATACGGGACATCCGTGGCCGTGTTGAGTTTGAACTTCTTTCATCAAATTTACATCTAACAATTTAAATGTTTCATCATGCGATGTCGTGAGTAAACATTGTTTTGATGCATTGATCGCAAGCGAATTTACACGCTGTGAATGTATTTTCGAACTAAATTGCTGAGATAAAGAGGACTCGTTAGAACCATCGAAGCTAAAAACAGTGATCTCCCCATTATTTTGACCAATTATAAAGTGGTTGTTATTAGGCAGATTGATTATTGTATTAGGAAACGCATTACGCTCGAAATGTTTCACATGCGATTTCAGCGATGTTTCGTTCAATCGCACCAACTCAATAGAGTCGTTTAAACTACCTAAAATTAAAAAATCTCCATTCAAAGACATTGCCCTCACAAGTGAACTAGAACAGAGTTGTGACTCTAAAGCTTGTATCTCACAAGTTTCAGCTACTTCAACTATGCTACTACGTTTAGCGCTGTTTTCTAAGTGATGGCGGTGCAAATTCTCTCTAAAACACTTTAAATCTTCACTGCCTTCGATATAAACACGTTTTACATTCATTTTATCGAGTTGACTTACGTCAACTGAAAATGGTTTATGAAAAACTTGTTTTAATCGTTTTATACGTTCTATTTTTGATTCATTAGCAATTGTTGCTGGTTCGTTCCTTAGAAGTAAATGAAGTTTAACTCCTTCGTCTGTAATTGGAAACCTTTTAAGATTATTTGACAATATAACTTTAATTTTTAATGGTAAGTCATCTAGTTTGAGTGATTGCATACAACTAATGGATATTTTGAATTATATCGAGCTGACTATTAGGTGAATAATATTTTCTCATTCATATAAAAAAGTATAAGGTCAATATTTCAGTTAATATTGAGATTTTAAATGTCAAAATTAATTTTGCCTAATTAATATCAATTACCTTCAATAAATTTTCTGTAACAAATTTTGAATACTTTTAAAAACTCTCCTGAAACTTTTTGCTCTCTTAGCAGCTCGTAATCGTCATTTATAAAATTTGTTTTCAAGAAATTATCGATCTTGTTTCTTTTTTCTAGTAATAAATACAATACCGTGTTGTTTTTTGCAATACGTCGAAACTGCGGCACTAACATGTTAATCACTTCTACGCCGTCGACCCCACCTGCCCAAGAATAGTCTATGGGATTTTCAAACGTTAGTGAATGCGACGGTACATAAGGCTATAGATAAATTAAATTAAAAATACTTACTGGGTTGCAAATAATTATGTCAATTGAATTATTTTCAATTTCATCTAAATTATCAGAAACTAGAACTGTGTAATTTTCACATCCAGGGTCTAATTTAAACGTGTCAGTCGTCGTTTCAGCTGCCAGAGAATGTTTATCTAATGCTATATAATGGTGATCAGCACCTAATAGATCGTAAACAGCGCGAATTATAACTCCAGTCCCACAACAGGCTTCCAAAATCTGAAGTTTTTTAGTAAATGTATTTTTAGCTAAATTATCACACACAGCGTCTAACAATAAAAATGAGTCGTCACTTGGTTGATAAACTGATTCTTTATTTTTACGACTATATTTCATCAACTAAACTCTTCTATTAAAATAATTAATTAAAATAAATACAACTACAAAACAGCTAGTTAAGAGTTGACGAGAGTCGTGACTTAATTTTGCTTAACTATATATATTAATAATTTTATGTATGAACTAGTTTTATAGTGAAATTTGGTTTAATACAATATCAATACCTAACTTAGAAACATTTTCTATGTACAATACTGGGACCTTCTTCCGCGTAATCAGTTGCAGTTACACAAAGACTAGTGGCGAATTCACTGAGTGAAGCAAGAATTGAACCCCCGACCCATACAGTAGCCTTTCTGTCAGGTGGGGCAATAATTTTGATCTTTTGAACAGTCGGTGCAAGTTCTTTGATTTCCTTTTCGAGACGGTCTTTGATCTTGGGGAACATAGTAGTACCTCCAGATAACACGATGTTACCGCATAAGTCAGTTCTTGTATCGATATCACATTTATTGATAGATTTCCAGGTTTCAAGATGAACACCATCATGTTCTTTCTTAATGAGTTCAGGGTTGAACAGAACTTCTGGGCATCCAAATCTGGCTTGTCCAACATTGATAACTGAACCATCTGGCAGAGTATGCGATTTGTTAATGTCTTCCATACCTTCGGGGGTTTTTAGTCTAGCGAGTTCGGCTTCGTAATCTTCAGCTACATAACATAACTTTTCTTTAATTTCACGGACAATTTCGAGTTCGGCACTAGTGTTAAAGCTGTAACCTTCGTACATAAGCAAAGATTGAAGAACTTCAGTTAAATCACGACCGGCGAGATTAATACGTTTAATAGCCATAAGCATGGCAAACCCTTCATAAATAGGTACTATGTGAGTAACACCATCACCGCTATCCATGACAGCACCCGTAGTTCTACCAGAAGCGTATAACGAAAGTACGGCTTGAATGCAAATAGTCATAGCAGGGACATTGAATGTTTCGAACATAACTCTGGTCATCGATTCACGGTTAGTCTTTGGGTTCATGGGAGCTTCAGTCAAAAGTACTGGATGTTCTTCTGGATTTCGACGAAGTTCATCGTAGAAAGTGGTGTACCAGATTTTTTCCATATCGTCCCAGTTAGTAATAATACCATGCTCAATTGGATATCTAAGAGTCAAAATACCACGTTTTTCTTGAGCTTCCTTACCAATATAGTAATCTTTTTTCTCGACTCCGACCATAACACCCGCCTGCCTGGGAATACCTACTATAGAGGGGAACACACAGCAAGGTGCGTCATCTCCGGCAATACCGGCCTTTACTTGACCGGAACCGTTATCAACAACAAGAGGTACTTGAGTTTCTTCGTCTGCCATTTTTGATTCCTTTTTTTTAAAAAAACACGTTGAGTTTAATACGCTGAAATATTTATAATGCACATTGCATGCAGTTATAAAAGAGTAAAAAAGCGTTTTTTATGACAAAACACTATAAATGTGCTTTTTTTATCTTATTTAATGATATGAAAAACATAATCTTTTTGTTTAGCACCTTTTTATTTCTAAACGATAATAAGTGCATTTAATCCTTTTCAAATTGATCAAATCAAAAAAATTATTTTTATTATTATGAATTATAAAAAATAAATTAGATAACACGAATGAATGTTCGTAGTACAATTGCCGAAAGAGCTGTTCCGCAGCGTTTTTGCGACGACTTAAAAAAAAACCACGAGTTTAAATATGACCATCAAGTTAATACCGCGGTAACAGATGAAACATATTTCAATGCTTTTATGTATAGCTTGCATTCGCAGCAAAACCAAATGCGACGAAAATGTATCGCAAAAAAACAGTCGATTGTTGATATTCAAATGAAATTATATCACTCATCGTTGAAACTAGGTACGCAAAGTACAGATCCGAATAGTTTTTATTATTTTTATGAAGATAATTTCAACAATCCGCCTATAAATATATTAAATGACGATTTGAAAAGTTCTAAGGTAAAGAATGATAGATATTCAAACGTCGCTTTGCAAAGTGCCAAAGCAGATCAAAATCGTCAAAACAATCTTTCCACTCAGAAAGCCGATCTAAACAACGCAGAGAAACTTAAGACTGCGAACCGGGAGTTGGCAAAATTAAAAAAATTTCGCACATATCTTGAGCAAATATTAGCAAAAAAAACTGAATTGAAATCGACCATAAATAAACTGAACTCAGCAAGTTTATCCGCTCCAAATTAAAAATTCCACGTCAGAAAAATATTTCTTTTAATTATATAGACAGCAAACGTTATGAACAGATCTAAAGAACGTCAATCTAAGACCATTGGGTTAATTCATAAAATTAAAAAAATAAATCGTTTTTTTTTTTTTACAGCACGCTATTTCAATATATTTGCACCTTATTATTGAATTTAAATTAAATTTTGTTTTCAAAGTTTAAAATTGCTACCAAAACTATTTCTATTTCAGCCTTTAAACGTGACGTTTCTATTTATCATTGACGCATTAATGCGGGAACCTATAACGCCATGTCAACAGTAAACATTCCTAGCTACCTGGACGATCCTAATTATCGCTACAAAATGCCCCGTGTGAAGGTTCAAAGAATAAGTCGCGGTAACGGAGTAAAAACAGTTTTACTCAACATGGGAGATATAGCGAAATCGCTAAAACGAAACCCTGACTACTCAACCAGATTTTGTGGTTGCGAATTGGGTGCTATGAGCAGATATGATTTAAAACGCGGATACACAATAATAAATGGCATTCACAGTGAGGATGACGTGCAAACAATTATTGACAAGTTTATTGAGCGATTTGTGTTGTGTCCGAAATGTTCACTTCCAGAAGTTGATCTGCTTGTTTTAGATCGGAAAGTCCAGGGAAGTTGCAACGCTTGTGGGTTTATTGGTTTAATGGATAACTACCACAAAGTTTCTACTTACATATGCAAGAATCCTCCAGATATATCTGAAAGCACTGTAAAGAATTTTTCTAGTAATAAATTAAAAACTTCATCTAAGTACCCAAAAAGCGGAAAACAGACTGCTGGCATCAACAGTGATGACGACATAAGTACTGAAGTAAATGACCCTACTAGTCTTGATGACAATGACGCGGAATTTGAAACTATCAAAAGTCGACATAGTCATAAAAAATCTCACAGCAAGCCCAAACGCCAGGAAAAACAGAAAAACACAGAAAGCGAATCAAACAATTCACAGGTACTAGAAAGAATGACTCAGTTTCACAATGGGAAACAGAACTTTGACCTCTTAGTAGACGAACTGAACCGTCTCGTCAAAGAAGAAAGCTTCAGCGAAGTCGAAAAGATATACATATACCTCTCTATTTTGTTCGCTAGCACTTCTATTAGCCGTCAAACGCTGATTGAACAAGAGGAAAAAGTGAAGAAAATTTTCAACGATTCTGTCAACCACCGCTCAGTACTAAAAGCATTCGAGCACTTAGGCATGGAAAACCACCCCGAGGTGTTTGAAGAATTCAGCCCTATTTGTTTTTGGCTGTACGAAAATGATATTGTTGACGAAGAGAGCTTTATCCGCAGATATAGCAACATCGAAATCACCAACGGCGAAATCAAAAAGACGAACAACAAAGAAAAACTGGGCAAACGTCTTGGAGCACTAGGGGCTGAAAAGTTTATTGATTGGCTTGAAACCGCAGAATCTGAATCAGACTCCGACTAGAAACTTTTTTATCTAAATATTAATTTCAATTTGTATGTTTTATATTTACCGTGTTTCTATTAAGTACATTTGTTTATCAATGTGGTTATTGTAATAGAGTATTTCAATGTAATATGTATATATAATGCGATTACAAAGTGCATTTAGAGCATTGATATTTATTAAATTTTGGAGATTTTGTTTGTTAGAAAAATTGAAATGCTGGTTGTTACGTAACCAATCATCAGACCCCAAGTTACATCGTAAACAGAATGTTTAAAGTCAACAACCCTCGAAGCTGCAACGATCACAGGCACGCCAAAGCCAATGAAAAGGCCAATTACCACCAAGTAGAGATAGTCACAGACTATTGAAGGTTCGCTGGAAACGGACTCCGTAAGAATGTTATATTTGGTATTCAATTCATTTCGCTTTTGTCGGTAAAACGTCAGGATACCTTGAATTATTAACCACATGACGTAAAGTCCGAACGACGCTGCAGTAGAAGAATGCCCGGATGGGAAACTGCGTCTGGCCTCGTCTAAAATTGATTTGGGGAAAGTCGAATCACATTGTATTAATTTTTCATATGGTATCTTGCTCAATGTGCTCGGTATGACTGTTTCCAAATTGATATTGGGAAAGCAGACGTTTAAATAGTACGGCCTAAACATGCCGACGAAGTATTTTAAGAATTGAACAATAAAGCACGTTATCGAGAAACCTATGAAAAACTCGCAAATTGATGAATAGAAAAGTTCAAAAGCCCGTTTTTTTGTTGTTTTCGTAACGTAAAACGAAACGACAAAACTGGTCAGAACTAAAGTCACTGTTCCGGAAAGAAACAGCGCCCAGTATGGAATAGTAGAATCGGGTTTATACGGGTATGCGTGATTAATGACAAAGTCCGTAAAGTTAATATAAAGCTGTCTCGGAGGCAACAGCTCAAAAAAAAATCCGAGCAGATATATCACTACCATTACGATGTTTGAAACAGCGAACTTTCTTGCGAAGTTCCGAAACGTAGAAACAACACAAATTCTGTCTTCATCTTCTAATGCAGAAATTTCAGAATTTTCGTATAAAATTTCTCTACTCATGTTAATGAACGAAACTTTTCTTTTGAAATTAAAGATAAAGTTAATAAGATGAAAAAAATTTATTTAAATTTGAGTAAAAATTTTTTGACAACTCATGCAAGTTTTTTTTCGAATCTATCTTTTATAATTGTTGTATTTCTTATTGCCAAAATTCAAGGGCCAAAATTTATTTTTATTAAATTCTTCGTATTTTTTTTTGTTTTTTTGCATCAATTTGTCATCTATTTCAAGTTCAATGAATCCTACTTTATAAATTGTTGATTTTTACTAATTAAACATGAACGCGGAAAACCAAACGTCAGCCAAAATCTCGAGTAACCTCGAAAACAAAAATTCGATGTACTTGCGCAAATATTCGGTGCCGCTGAATAAACAAAAAAGTCTGAAAAACTCATGGGCCGATCTAATCAAGCCGCTTGTCAAACAGATGCAACTCGCAGTCAAATACAACTACAAAACCAACTGTATCCTGCTGCTGCCCGCTTGGGCACTTAAAGCGTCTAAGCCTGAGGACGAAAACGAACTCGCTCAGAGTGAAGCTAGAATTACCAAAGCGCTAGAATATTTAAAGGCATATTTTCACGGATTTAAAATCGAAGACTGCTTAGCTATTTTGCGGTTGGACGACATTTTTCTCCAGTCTTTCCGAGTCACTGATGTTAAAAAACTCGAAAACGACAATCTTTGTCGAGCCATCGGCCGTATCACAGGTAAAAAAGGCCGAACAAAGACCATCATCGAAAACAGCACGAGAACCCGAATTGTCATTTGCGGAAAAGAAATTCACCTGCTCGGTTCCTATGAAAACATTGCCCTTGCTCGAGATTCCATTTGTAATCTCATTCTCGGGTCCAAACCAACTAAAGTTCACAACCACTTATCAGTCGTAAATCGAAAAATGAAAGAACGTATTTAGCTTTTTCGCATCGCAACACGACTTTTTTGTAATTTGAAATTTTCAATAAAACTATATCTCATTAAATACAAAAATAAATTCAACATGGTTAAGTTGGTTTATAAAAAAAAAGACAAACAAAACACCAACGAAATCAACAACTCACTCAACGAAATAAACCTTTCGAAAGTTACGAAAAAAGCATCTAGACCCGTTCTTAAAATTCAGAAATCGACTGTACAAACTGACGTCACAAATTTAAAACTTGCAAAAAATAAGTCCGAAGAAATCAAAGGACTGCTAAAAAATCACTCCCGCAGCGAATTTGTCACTGAAAACAACAAAGACAGCGTCTGCTATAACCACGAAAAATCGTACGTGCTCGATCTCAACCAAGAGATTTGCAAGGACTTCAACGAAACCGGCTATTGTGGGTACGGCGACACCTGCATTTTCATACATGATCGGCACCAGCTCAAAAAGCACCAGTCCAAAACTGGGAAACTCTGGTTGAAATACAAATCACGTCTTGCTAAACAAGAAGAAATCAGATACTCGTACAAAAACGCAGTAGAGGACAATAGTTCCTCTGGCTCTAAAAAGAAAGAGACTAAAAAAAAATTTTGTTAATATAAACTGATAATGTTTCTAATAAATGACTGTGCAATATCTAGCACGTTAACATGTAAATATAAAATCTATAATATAACTAAATTGATAACTAAATTTATAAATCGACTACTTCCATGATGCTCATTTCTTCAGGAGCGGTTTTGTCTAATGAGTAAAGTACTATGACAGAACCCTTAGTTGGAATAAGGTTCTGCTCTTGAGCAATCTTGATAGCAGCTTTGATATCAGACTTCTTGTCTTTAAATTCAAACACGGAGGGCTGCACACATCGGTAATACATGAGCGAGTTAGCGGTGTACTCGCAGTTGGTGTATGCAATGATAGCTTGGGCTGGTCTAAATTTGGATAGTAACTTGGCGGCAATTCCGGACTCAGTGAATACAATAAATCCTTCGGCTTGGATGTCATAAGCAAGTCTTACAGCGTTAGCGCAAATTGCTTCAGTAGGGTTCTTAATAGCCTTGGATTCAAGCATGTCATTGAAAAGTCTTACATAGTCGCAACATTTTTCGGCTTCATACGCAGCACGAGATAAGTAGTCAACAGCGCGGGTTGGAAAGAGCCCGTTAGCAGATTCTCCGGAAAGCATGACGAGGTCGGTACCATCAAGAACTGCGTTAGCTACATCAGAAATTTCGGCTCTAGTGGGTCTGGGGGCTTTTATCATAGATTCAAGAAGTTGGGTGGCAACAATGACGAATTTTCCAGCAAGGTTGCATTTTTCAATCATGAGTTTCTGGGCTAAGAAGACTTTTTCAAGAGGAATTTCCATTCCAAGGTCTCCACGAGCAACCATGATACCGTCACTGACCGCAATGATTTCGTCAATATTGAGAACACCTTCAAGGTTTTCGATCTTTGGGATAATAAGGACGTCCATACCGTTCTTTTTATACACTTCGCGAACGGCAATAACGTCTTGGGCGCATTGTACGAAAGACACGGCGATGGAGTGAATAGCATTGGGAATGGCAAAGTTGATGATATCATTGATTTCACGTTCTCCACAAACTGGCAGATCGACTTTAACACCAGGCAAGTTCATGTTTTTGGTTTCACCGATGGTAGCGTCATTCATGATGATTGTATCTACATAGTTTTCACCAAGTGCAACAATTTCAAGCATGAGGGATCCATCGGCAATCATGATGTTTTGACCGACTTTTACTGAAGTTGGAAGACCTTTGTAAGTGCATGCAATACAGTTTTCATCACCTCTAAAGCTGTAATCAGTGGTTACTCTCAATTTGTTGTTTTTCTTGAGAGTGATTGATTTAACACCTTCTTTAAAGTATCCAGTTCGGATTTCAGGTCCTTTAGTATCGTACATTAAAGCTATTTTCTTATTTGGACGTTGTTTCATAGCTTGTTTCAAGTTGTTCAATGTTTGAGTGTGGGATTTGTGATCACCGTGAGAGAAGTTGAATCTGCAAACGTCCATTCCGGCGTCAATCATGTCGACGAGCTTGTCTACATCCCAGCAAGCTGGACCCAAAGTACAAACAATTTTTGTTTTTCTGAGGTGGTTATAATTCTCTTCAATTTGAACTATTTGATCCAGCGTCACTTTCAAACCTCGGCTTCTTAACAACGACATAATAAATATATTTAAAAATAAATTTTCACGAACACGACATAACAATGTAACATGCGCTACATAAAACAAAAAACAAGTTTTTGTTTTATTTGTAAATCACAAAATAACTTGAAGAAATTTTTATTTCACGTATATTTTTAATCATTTGATAATTTATATGTAAATTATAATTGAAAATAATTAAGTTCATATGTAGATACAGGTATATCTGAATCCTTGGTACTGTAGGATTATGTTGATTTACGAAATACGATAATTGAATGTAATATAATTGTTTAAATCATGTCTGATCAGTCTTCTGAACGTTTTTTGTATCATAAGTGGAAACATGTCCCAAGTTTATTAGACGGTTACTTAGACGTAAACACGATTTTAAAAATTAGACTACTGAACAAGTACTATTATGACTATCGTTGGAAATTGTATCCTGAATACTGTGCCAAGAAGACGAATTATCGAACGCTGGACTTCAGTTTTTTAAGAGGTAGCGACGGCAACAACATACTATTGCAACTGCGAGAAATACTAAAAGTTTTAAATGATTCTGTAAAGCTACATGGGATCATTCTAAATTTTTCACACTGTGTTTTGCTTAGAGACGTTCATATAAACTTGATGTTTTCAGAACCAAATCTTTTAGCTTTCTCCGTGAACAATCAAGATTCAGATCAAGCGTTTAAACTGATTGGATTGAATTTCGATTTCTGTTCCGGAATATCTGATCAGTCAATGTCCTATATTTGTAGTAAAAAGTTAACGTATTTAAGATTTTTAAGCTGTGTTTGCATTAGAAATGAAAATTTTAAAGGGAATTCCTTCAAAAAAAATTTTAAATTTAATAATTGGCCCAGCATAAATATAATAAATTTGTGCTTCTCAAGCGTTGATTTTGATACAATTGTTTTTTTTTATGATCAGCAAACACAACAAGGAACAGATTCAACAGGTAGTAATGAAGTAGAAAACGACAACAAGGTGCCAGAAGAGTTTTTTTGCGAATTCTACGGCACAGTGGCATCTAGAATTTGCTTTGAACAGCTGGGATGGCAAAACTTATTGAACGAGTTGGACACAACTTTGATTAACGGAGATGTGAGCAATCTTTACAAACTCGTTGGCAAACAACTGATCAGTAATGCCAGCTATTCTTCTCAGACGTTCGAAAATATAATTAAAAAAAGCATCGCCAAACGATTTTCGTCCTATTTGCTAAATATGCCTATAAAACGTCGCTGTGAAGACTCAGACAGCATTGACGTGTGGACTTTGCCAATTGCAGACGTGATACGAACTGAGGATCTTAACTTATTGAAAAACTTAATGGATTTCGGAGCTTGCATCGATGTGACTGATTTTTTATGTCGAAGCATTTTGTATCGAGCCGTTAGTTCTAACAACGTGCAAATAGTAGAATTGTTAATAGACTCAGGAATAAATTTATACCCCATCGATTTTACCATTGATCTGCCCCTTAATGAAGCAATAAAACAACAAAACTTTCAAATATTTAATTTACTATTAGAAAGTGGTTACAACGTCAATTTCAAAGCACCTTCCGTACAAGATTTCAAAACTCCGCTTATTCTAGCTACTTCGTTGAATTTGGAACGAGAGGTACATTTATTACTGGACTGGGGAGCCGATTTAAACTACTATCCCGGCAGCTCAAAGAACAGTCCGCTGATGCTTGCTTATATATCTAACTCGTACTTGTTAAACGTGTTTCTAAACTCGGGAAACATTAAATCAATTAAACTAGCGTCAGATTTATTGACCGCTGCGATTGCTCGTGACGACATTGAAACGGTAAAAAGATTAATTATCATTTTTCCAGTGCTTGCAATAAAAACGCATCCCGTTTGGGGACTTCCACACGTTCATGCTTCGCGAACCGGAAAAAACAGGCTCCTTAAATACTTGATCAGCGTGTTGCTGACCCAGGTATTTTCCGGCACAGAAGTTATTTGCCGTACGAAACCGTTTTGCTCAACACACTCGTTGAAAAATACAAACGATACGTTTTTATACGAAGAAATAAAACCAGAGTTTTCAAACCATTCTAGAAACGTTACTGAAAGAGCGGAGGAAGATGAATGGCTGGAAACCTACGACCGAACAAGTAAATGTGCAAGCAAGATTACGACCATAAATCTTGACTTGCCAAACGAACTCTTACAGTCAATCCAACCTGTTTATAAAAACGGAGTAAATCCAGACTCAACAAACAATTTTTACCAATTTTTCTTTACAAAAGATTCAGTTAAAGGAAATACGGCTTTGCATCACGCAGTAGAATCAGGTCACGTGCAAACCGTAAAACTGTTATTGCGGTACTCATTTGCCACAAATCTGCAAAACCTAGAAGGTGATACGCCTGTCCACATTGCATGTTCGGAGAACCGCTTTCAAATTTTGGCTTACCTGCTTTCTTGTAACGAGAACGTATTTAATATTCGAAACAGAGATGGTTACACGCCTCTGATGGCCGCAATTAAACACAAGAACAACACTTGCTGCGAAGTTTTATTTCAGTTCTATGAATTCAATTATGATAAATTGAGTTTCATGACCGACATGATAGAAAAAAGTGATCAGCCTTGTTCTTTAGACTACGCTATTGCTTGTCAAAGACTGGATGCAATCAATGCTTTGTTGAATTTAAATGAATTTTCCAATTTTTTAACAACCAACCAAGTATTGTTAGAGGAATGCAAAAAGCAAGGTATGTTTCATCAAATAAATAGTTGTAGTTCAGGAAATGTTGCTGGATGTTCAGATTCCTTCGGAATACCACAAAATGTTGCGCTTTTTAAACGACTACTTCGGCGAAGAATCCGTTAGCAAATGCGTTGATAAGGTCGATTTCCCCAACCTGACGTACAAACTACAAGTGAAATGGAACAATTTGTGTCTAATGTGTTCAGAAAAAATGTTTCTAAAAAAAGACTGAAAACGCTACGTAAACGACTAGTTTTTAATCTGAGCCAATCAAAACTAACTTCGAAATTTTTTTATTTATTTTTTTTTGTCGGCGGTTCTCATTTAGTTTAAATTTTTTGTAGCGAAATAATTGATTTTGTAAACCTACCGAAATTCTTTCGGTCTGTAATTCAAGCTGCATGTTAAGTCTAAGCAACATGCAAATTCAAGCAACCAAATTATAAACAAATCTTAAATGATTGCAATAAGATTTAGCAATCTTTTGTTGGCTAATGTATTTTGATGGTCCGGCTCTATAATCGTTTCTTAACTGATAATGGAAAAAGTGGGTTGACTGACAAGTTAACAAAAGGGCACGATTGTTACATTGCCAATAACGCAAACAAAAACGTGGATTTATATTTTCTCTACGCAAACTACCGTAATTCACATTTTACACGAAATCAGGATTGCACAAATTTTGAAAGGTACGATGAAAATCGCTCTAGTTTGAAAAAAACAAATTCGCCTGTAAAGTCATTTTGGACTCGATTCACGGATGTAAACAAGGAGATGTACTCCACAGGGAGAAAACTTCACCTGCAATCTTATTTGAACAACAACAAAGCTGTTCCAGTGAAATATGTGCCAGCCGACGTGGCTCAGGTTGAAGAGTACATAAAAAATCCTTACTATGAGTTGTTGCCTTGGCTGGACTCCAAAAATTGCATTGAATCTCAGAATATTTACATACCAGGGCTGTACAATTCCGTATTAATAACGGAGAATTTTTTCATGAACAGCGGAAAATCAAATTTATCGTTGCCGGTTACGTATCCTGATCGGTATGAAGAAAAACTCATTGACAACTGCTGTCCTTTGCCGCAGAATTCCGACAATCCTGACAAGGAAAACAATAAAGAGTCTATAATTCCCATATTTATGAACATCAACCCGGTTTCTCCAAACAGGGGATGCTACGAAGATTACAATGCTAAATCACCTATGACTGACGTAGGCAACTTAAGCAGTACATCTAATGAACAAGTAATATATTCAAACCCAGTCGATTCTAGAACGATTAGTACTAGTTCTGCTAGGCTTTCTCGAATTTCAACCAATAATTTATGTATCGATCAGACTAGCATTTCCAGAGTGAGAATTTCTTACAAGCCTTTGAAAAGCATTGAAAAAAACAATTCTTTACAAGCTAGCTTTGTTATGAATATTCCACACGCCAAGTCGAGTACAGAGTCGATAAATGACTTGCCGGTTTTTCGAACTAAACATGCGTTCCAGGATTTGTATCAATCACCGATGCTTTCGCCTCGAAACACACGGGAGTCTTCTATTGAATTAGATACGCCGATTTGCAGGACTTTTAAATATCAAAACTTTGATTCAAAAAACTTTTGCGAAAGCCATTTTGCAGATAGTCCAATATGTTGTTGTACAAGGTCGCTGGAAATAAACAATGGCGTACCAACAACTCGCCAAGCCTCATATCCTAGCCGAACGCAAATTAAAAATAATAATTTGCAAAAAGGTATTGACTCAAATCAAATTGCTACTCCGGTAACTGTTCACTTAAAGACTCAAAGCAATCGCACTTTTAGCATGCGTATAAACCAGCCTTCTAATCCCTTGTTATCCCATGTTACTAATATAAATCACACAGACAGGTCTCAACCCAAAAAATCAAGAGAACCTTCTAACGAAGCTTTCGTCGATGAAACACTTAGTTCAAAACGAAATTATGCAAATTACGGAAATTTGAGCCAATCAAAACCCGATCTCGGTTTTTGTTACACTGATAAAACAAACTTAGCCACTAATAACTCACAGCTAAACGTTACTAAAACACTTTTTAGTCAATTGAGCTCCGATTCAATTCAACGAAACATGAATTCATCATGTTCTTGCAAGCAATCGTCTATAAGTAGCAATACAGCTAAATTTTCAAATGGCCAAAAATATAAAAGAACTTTTACAACTAAACATCAAGAGAATGACTTTTATACGAATACTAATAAGAATTTCAAATGTGTTGCTGCCATTAAAATTGGCCACCCTCAAACCGT